TCAGAAAAGGCCTTAGATAATTCGACTATAGTAGACAGAATAATATAGTTCACCTCTTTTTTCTTACATTGCCAGGCTACTAATCGTACATGTATGGGCACCGTATGAGGCGTGCAATAAACATGAATCTATTTTGGCTAGCCACACTTATGGTTGCCTCTTCCATCCCTGGATAGACTGCTGGTGCAGTGTATACTAAAGTCCTTCCTCCAAATTTCAATCGTAAGAAATGATAAGACGTACGTTTACATTCATTGTATATGGCAAACTTATCTTACGGCAGTAATATATGGCAACTAAGATTTTTACCCCGCGTTGAATTTCGATGCACCACCAAGAAAACGTCAAGTTTAAACCTTTCGTCTATGTATGCTGAATATCTGTTTGGATTCGTCGTGTACTTTAACCGTAAACTTTTTAAAGCCCACAATTTAATCTTTCGATCCTTAAGTTCCAATTCGATCCAATTAACTTCTATTAACAAAAATGAATGTCTGTGGAAGATGTCATGAATAGGATATACGGTAAAGTCACATCAAAGCTGTTCCTTGAACTTGAAAATATATCACGAATACACTTCATGTATGGCATGCGAAGCAAGCTGAAGTGACAAGTATACATTATTCAAAAGTAAAAAGGGAAGACGCTCTTAAAGAAAATGTAAACCTTTCTTTCAACGAATACAAATGAGTATTATTTCCTATGCGTTTGGTATAAAAGATGGCGTTGAAGTGTTGCTGCTCGAATACTTTGAAAACGTACGTTAAGTCAGCTAATCCCGCGGGATCCATTTATAGTATTTACAATTGACTGCAAGGACATCAGAGACAGCATTATCATGCCTATATAAGCAAACTTACCACGTAATAATTTTAGCAACGCAATCGAACCTGTGCCTCTCTGCGTTTGACTTCCATCTGCTGAGCCACTGAGCAGCAAACCTGTAGCAGTCCTTAGATAAATTGCAATTGGGTAACACTCTGGACAATCTATATTATGTTATAGTTGTTTACTACAATAGCTTCGGCTTTATGTGTATATCGTTTAATTAGCACCATCGCAGTTAGGCTCCCTATTACCGACAAATGCTCTTTGCATTTGCTTCATCCTCAGTGACGCTAATTAATGCTTTTAAAAATCCGTGCTTTATGTTTCGCTCAATGAAAATCATGTTGATCAAGTTATCCAACAAAGTTGTTAACTGCTATTTTCAGTTTCTCACTCCTTGCCTCTATCATAGACCATTTTTATACGCGTCCATATCTACAAGGTCTAAAGATGTCCTTTTTTAACTCCTGCTGTTGCTCGTGTTACAGCCTGTCGCGTTCTCAGTATCATCTCTGCTCTTATACAATCTTAGGTTCGGCTTCTTATGACAACATTTACTGTGGAGCCGCCTTCACAACTTCCTGGAAGATATCGAGGTGTCTTTTCCTCCATCAACTAGCAGAACGATGCCATCAGTGTATGAAACTTGGGTCGGCCCTACTCTGCCTAGTGTTGATGCTGCCGGTCCTTTCTTACTTCCTCGGCGAACGTCCAGCAGCGTTCTGCACAAACTTTTTCCATCGCTCATCGATGCGGCGGCGGCGGCGGCGGCGGCGTCGTCGTCGTCGTCGTCAACAAAATCGACGACAACGACGATGAGGACGAAAACGATACCACCGCCACCTCATATAAACTTGACTATTTTCCGAAAGTAATCGAGTTTTATAGGCTTGGCAGACGGCGCGCGCAAGCACGCAAGAAATGACTCAGTTTACAAGTCGTCTACCAGTTCTTGTACTGGAACCGCCGGTGGTAAGTACAACACGAATTCTTACCGCGTCCAAGTTACCCCCTCATGTCCACTTGCCGGGCATCGGTCGCCTCGGTCTATTGGCCCGAACCTCACCTAACCTCTTAAACCCTTCACCCAAGCTCCTTTTGCTTTTTGTTACTTCCCTTTTAGACGAAATACTCACTTTTTCGTCTCGCTGGCTTTTGCCTGCGTTTTCCTTTTTTCGTTAGTCTACTATATTGGTCTTCTGGTGGTGGGGTGTTGTAGAAAAAGTGAACTACACTGTGGCTTCTATGATCAAACACGCTGTTCAGTAAAAATTGAACATATGTGCTCAATGACACTTCCATGCATTGGCATATTGTATAAGGACACTGCGCTGTGCTGATAGTAGGTGCCTGTTGGCAGTAAACGTCAACTGGTGGAAGAAAACCTTGGATACTCAGGAACGTAGCACAGACGTACTATGTCGATATGTGACCGATACACGCCTTATAGGTGTGCATATCTGAGAAACTCAAAACTTCTGAATCGGTACTGATTATATAGGTCAAATCTGCCTCAATGTTATAGATGTGAAGCATGCACAATGATCAATAGAAGGATCACAAATATATCTTCTAGTTAGATTAGTGGTAAGCTTTATTAGACGAAAGTATTCTTGAGCACGGAATTTAATGCAATATTACCATACTGGCTTAAATGTACTCGTATTTTTCCCACTATGTCATACCGTACAACCATCGTACGGATGTCGGGCTTTGAGATAAAAGTGCGTACGTAGAATTGCCTCAAAAATGAGAGCATTCAAATAGAAATATTAGAACACGATATTATTTCTATAAAGTAAATATAAATAGAAGCATAAAAAGCCCACCGCATGATCTCTTCGTGTGATGAACATTTTGAAAAAGATGTTCATTTTAAATTCAACAATATAACCAACTGACTTTTCTCATAATTGTTAGAAATCAAACCTTATAAACACGAAGAAATAATACAAAGAAAAATATTTTTTTTATAACCACGAAGGGATATAGCTTGGAACCTGCTTTAAAATCGTCACGTACTCTAAAAGTGTGCATGTATCTTAATGTTAATTTATACTAGTATTTGAAAACGTAAGGAATATATATTTCTTTTCATCTACTAATAAAGTGCTCTTATATTTAAGGAGCATGCAAACTATTTCTCCTAGGAGCATCTACAGCTGGAGCTAACCTTAGTCCGCGACACAATGAGCACATTATGCAATACTAAAAGAACCAGTAATTATGTCTCAATCATCTTGAACCGAAAGTCTTTTCACGTTCATTTTCCGTGTGCAGCGCAAGTTAGTAGCTACGTTTTGAGGTCATAAACGCTTCAAAAAAAGACTGAATGAAGCGCTTATCACAAATGAGAGAGAGATCTCTTTCTCAAAACATAGTCAAGACTAAACCATAGAAGAAGTTCGTTATTTTTATGCATAGCTTCATAGTAGGGTTTAGACGAAGTGAATATGGTATCTAAAGATATGATGTCGCACTGACGTGTTACGCCGGTTAAGTCTTCCTAAGATTAATTCTTTTAGCCACGAAAACTAATATTTTTATTTTTTTAAACTAGGGTCTCACAGTTGGAGCCACCTGTTTCATTATCTTCCAGCAGTTAATGGTGGCTGGCTACCTAATAAAAAAAAACCAGCGACAGCTGTCTATTCTCTGATGTTTATTTCCCTCTCTTTATATCACTCTTCTTCGTCTATCACATTTTATTGTAGCGGCTGTCTACATAGGCCTTTTTAATGACGGCTTCTAAGTAATTCGCAACACTGACAGTCGTTAACAACTAATGAGAGACTTTCAGCAAACAAGCATAATTACGTAGTGATATATAGGAGGCGATATTTTCGCCATAAACCTCCCCTCTATCAAAAAATTCTTAAAGCGTATTTTTGTTAAAAAAATAGAATACAAATGGCATAAGACGTAATCAAAAGTGATCAGATAAAAAAACAATACAATAATTACATTAATTGATTATAAACGAGGCAAAAATCCTATTAAATTTTTGCAATATTGATCATTGTTTAAAATAAGCATGAACATAGAGAATACTCATATAAGATACGAAAGATCCGAACGAGCAGTATATAATAATAATACTATGTAGCATGTGAACTGTCATCACCACAACTACATTATGGAGAGTAGTGCAGTTATGACGTTAAAAAATGATATCATCGCTTATAGTGACGGATAACTTAGCAGCCGTAATTTCTATAACCGTTCGCTTGAAGTTTGTGCTCTAAAGTCGTTATCATTAGATTTTCTATCCACTTCAATGGATCTGTCAAGATTCATGCTCGTCCATAATTCACCTCTGGCATTGAGGTATCGTCGTAGGAACAGTATGCCAAACTAACTAACTAGGAGTCATATTTTCTCTTTTCTGCCTTTAACGATAATGTTCTAACAGAATTTAGGCATTTTAGATGTTTTCGTTGATATAAACAATAACACACTTCAGTCTTTAGACCAGTAGATTCTGAGTACATTTAACGGTCAACCTCATGATCTAGCAAGGTTAAAAATCTTTTACTCATGCATTGGCAGGAAGATAAATAATATCTGTGTATGTAATCAAGTTCAAGTATGCATGTCCAAGTGTACATATGTATGGACAATATACGTATAATAATCAATAAAAACAGTTGTTATGTCACATATACTGCAAGTGACGCTGCACTTTAGCGTCGTACGCGTGGCAACAGGCCACTATCATCACAGATCCAATTGGCCTTTATCTGCTGCTAGCTGTCTGCCATTTTTTTTTTTCTAAACTTGAAAATCCAAGCGGTTTATTTACGTGATCAAGGTTTCCATATATCGTCCTTAGAGCTGACAGTATTTCTTGATAGGAGTTGAAATGGTGAAGATAACCTCACTTGAGAGGAAAACGGCGTATTGTTGATATATGTTATTTAGTGCAAATGATGCGTCTTCATCTATGATACAATGATAATCTTCAACAGCTTCGTTGTTTCAGGCCTTTTGCAAGGGAAATAATGCTTACTGATCAAGTAAAATAAAACTGGACTATTTATCGTGAAACTGGGCTAGTTTGGTATCGTTGTGCTATCGTATGGTACTTTTTTTGATGTTAATTTCAATCGTTTCGGATATTGTAGGTTCGAAGTAATGCCTAACGGAGGTATGCACTTTGATGAAATTCTCAGTTCAATGGCAAGTTTGTGCTGATTTTCCTCAGTGATAGATGCCGTCTCTCCAGGAAAATCAGCCAGGAATTCAAGTGGAGTAGTTCGATTCAATAAGTATCAACAGTTGAGTGCGCAAAGTTACAAAATTAACAAAACTTTAAACCGATATGATAACTTTCGTGGCGAGCAATGCTTTTTCTAGGTACATACATTTACAACTGAAATGTTGTCGGTTGCCACCGTGTTACACGTGTCTTTGAAACCATCACTAGAACACGACGACAAATTATGCTGCCCTGGGTAGCCATATACCGTGTTCTTAAATTGTTACTTCCACGCACCTCAAGTGTGATAGCACGTATTAATATTTTGGTCTCTATTTTTCTATTTCTCATTTGCCAGATCAATAGGATGGATACAAAAGTAAAGGTTGAGGTGCAAGCACCTCATCCTCACAACTGAATAGCTTGTGCTTCTTTCAGTCGTACAATGAGCTAACAGAATTGGAACGTAAGTACAATAAACATCCAAAAATTACCGAGTAGTCATAAGCAAATTAATGCTTCCAGTTATTTTGTCAGGAATTATGATTTAAAAACAGGATTACGTGACTAGCGTTGATAATGATTGAGATGTTGCCGCAGCAACGAAACCTGCTTCCGAAATCCACAACATGTCGATGTTGCAGTATTGGGTTGTGGCCTATTAGGTTGTATATAAACGATTCAGCTATGACGCAGCAAATGTCCACTTTTCTCTTGTTGGCTGCTCAGTGGTTTCGTTGTAGGCCAATGTGACTCCGCGTAAATGTCGTTGCTACTTGTGGTTATTTAATTATTTCCGCTGTTTCCTGCTGAGGCGTTCTTACCACTTCTGAAGATAGCCAAGGCCGAGGATGAACCACCTTCTCTTCGCGATGGTCCTGCCTGAACCTCAAGGACTGGTGGCCCCTGTTGTTTAAGTTCGATATCTTCGTCATCACTTACAGCTGCCGCAGACCGCTGCAGACCTGCCCCGCGCTGTGAAGTCGCTTGCATTAGCTCGGGATCAGGCTGCTGTCTGTTTTCGTACAGCAAGATATTAAGTACTTCTTCATAAATTCGGGCTTCTGGAAACTCAACCTGTTATAAACGACACAAATGTCGAGTCAAATTTCGACACAGAAGTGGACCGAAAATAAAGATCTATACGATAATTATTGTACTGACAATACTGTAAAAAAGTTTGAGAATAAGATAATAAACATGATTAAGTATGTTCAAAAATATCAAACATTTAAATAATGAACATTTAGTATCATTTCCATTAACGTGTTATATAACACAGACATGCCTGTAATAATGGCCAGAAAGAGATTTAATTGCTATTAAGCGTCATATTAGGCTGTCCGGATCTATTTAGCGAGTCTAGAAACCAAGGTAACTTTTGAGTATTATTAGCAGATGAAACTCATTAAGCGTCATATTAGGCTGTCCGGATCTATTTAGCGAGTCTAGAAACCAAGGTAACTTTTGAGTATTATTAGCAGATGAAACTCAGTAAGCGTTTATGTCATGTAGGCTTTGGCTGCCTAAAAAATTAAGGTGACTAAATATCGTGAGGGAATAATGAGTTTAGAGGCAAATATAGCATTCAATGTTACAGATCTATGCGTAAAGGTTAGGTTTTCAGTTTTTAAAGGTTAGGGGCGCTAGTGAAACTCATGAGGGATTAGTAAGAACACTGGACAAGGAGGCCTTTAACAAAACAGCGCTGAGTTACTGATGAATTCGAATTAAGAACATGAGCACCATTGAGTAGATGATTATACTCCAGGACCTCAATTGCGAGAACGAGTTTCTGTAAATGCAGAAACTTATCATCTACGGCGACAATATGTTGTAGGCAGACTTCCTGTCTGTAATAGTTATGGAAATTGTCTCATACCAGGGTACACCAGACTTTTTTTTAATATATTTTTTGTTCAGTTAATGAAAAACCTCATATTTTGCTTGTTTTCATTCGATATCTAATTCACGTTTTTTTTTTATATATGCACACAGTTCTTTTATGTCTTCCTTTGATGTTTTTTTTGACATGTCTGTTTTGCTTAACAGGTCCTGCTAGTATAGCGACTCGTTTTTAAGGTCCTGCGATGTAATTACTTTTTTTATGATCTTCAGTTTAATTTCTACCTTAGAATTATTGCCCCTGTAACGAAGGCCTCCTTGCCTAACGTTTTTACCTTCGAGAGACAGAAACGTAATCTCTAAATGTTGATGTTCAGCACTACACAACATCTTTGCTTCTAAACTCCAGCAGATTATAATGCAAATGCAGTTCTAATGATGTGTAGATTTATAGTTCAAATCCTTCTACTGCTTGAAGAGATCCAGACAATTATATATATACCACTTTAAGATAATTTTCACAAAACTCAACCCTATAAATTAATTATGCCAGAATAGTTTTTCTACACTAGTAGCAGACCTTTGTATGCTTTTTGTCGGTTGCGTACACGATGGATGTGCAGCAAAATTCTGCCACTTTTTTTCCGTGACCGTAGAAACTCCAGCAACAGATTTCGTTCGTGCCGATGACATCCTTGATAAAAACTATACGACTGCTGAAGCGCAAAGACAAACGGTCGAACATTTCGAGATTCTTGAGGAGATTATCATCCGAGGCCGAGGTATACGAATATTTATTGTTGTGTCGATTAATCAGCAATTTGACCACTGGCTTAGCAGTCGCTTGTATTAACTGCTGGCATTCTTTATCCGAAGTGATAAGCGGTACGCGGCAAATAGCCTCAACTACCGGTTGCTTGCGTAGAGCCGTTTCACAAGTCTCAATTAGTCCTGTATAAATTATTTACGCCACTTTACTCGATACAATTCAAATAGGTAACTAAAGGATGTAAGCGTCCTGTCTTCATTTACAGCTTATATTTGACTATGCGTCCCGACTGAATAAGTTATAGGAAAATGATAACTGAGAAGTAATATTCTATAAATGTATAAAGATTGAAGCACTCCTAGAAATGCTTACAACCCTTCATTAATTATAGAGTTGATATGCTCTACATTTAAGAATTTAGTTTACATGGGGAATGCCCAGCCAATAGCAGATCATATAATAAGCACATGAAAAGTTTACTGCATGACATGAAACGCCGGTTGTATATATGTGCCATATTGGCCTCTTTAATATTGCACGTTTTTTACTCAGCATGAACTCGATGTATGAATTATCTCGAATAAACTCGAATTAGATAGTATAGGTTGTGGCCGTGAGCAAGTGGCACCCATTGTACAATTACCGCTTCCTTACCTTGGATAAGGTAGTACTTGGCTTCGCCGTAGAGCTCGGCTACTTCCCTTGGGGAATCCGGCAACGGCACAGATCCGTCTCTGAGGTAGTTGAGAATAGTCCCAAAGTGCTTTCCACTTCGATCAATGAGAATCCAACCTTGATAGAAAAGAGTAGTAAATTAGTAAAATAAGTATAGCCCTTTTATTAACATAAAGTAGATATGTACGCCATAAGGGAAACCAATAATCAATAAAGAAATACATATAACAACAGTCAACTACGTTGTTTATCGACGATTATCAAAATACACATTATTCGTTCTAAGCGCTACTTTAATACGCGTTCATTATCAAATTTACCACTTTCTCCTCAATCACCAGTTGTTGTATTTTACCTTCCGAATCGGTCAACACTTCCATGCGACCGCTGAACATTGCACGTAGCATCGAGTCCAGTTTCGTTAGAGTACCAATTGTCGTATAGTAAAGGGATCCTCCTACATTCAGTTTGACGTACTGCGATGGACTTCCTGTCTGCATCTTCCCAGAACTGGACGGTGGAACCGAACTCGTAACTGTTGGTGCTCCTCCAACCGTTGGCGGGAAGCCTCCCGCCACGGAGCCGGCCACTGCCGGCTCGCCCATGCGACCACCGGGTGGCAACGCGTGCGAAAGCTCACGAAACGGATCCACGTTGATCGAGTCTTCTCACGAATGGAGCTCACCTAATAGTAAAGATAGTACACGTACATTGGATTCGTATTCATTCGTTCATAGTTCATTCGTTATTTGCCTGCTGAGCTGGTTATAATTTATTTGACACACTCGAGACGGAAGGGAATTGCTATGCTCACATCAAGTTGGCAGACATATTTCGATGTCCGTTCAACCACGGTATCATTGTTAAGCGTAGAGTTTTAACGATATATCATAGTTCAAAAACAAATTGAGCTCACTAACGAATGAACCAAGTAGCATCGTATACACTGCATACACGTCTGTTAGCATAAGTAGATTAACGTCTACAATTCGTATAGTCTTCTGCTATTAAAAAAATTCGCAAAAGGGCAATACGCAAATATTTGGTCTTCGCTACCAGCAAAGCCGCGCAGTGACCATGAGTTCGTTGAGACATACAAATAAAGCCGTTTTTCTATTATCGTAAAGCATCCGGCCATCGGAAAGCTGAATAAAGACTGCGTTCAAATGTTTGTCGATAACACCTTAGCAACGATTTATTGGTATGCTCTTCCATTCATTCGTTTTGATCTCCTGCTCACCACTGAAATGACCAGGGTCACGAAACGGTGCTACAGTTCGCTCCTCCCCTAAGAGTGTCTATTGATATACATTATATATTTTTTATTTCTATACATAAACACGCGTTCCTGCCTTGAAGTATTCTTGTTGACACTAGGTTTAATTATTAGTTATGTATGGATAGCACGACCTTTATATTAGCGTCTTTTCATTATGGCTGTTATTTACTATTGATCTACCCGACTGTCAACTGCATATTAAGACAGCAAAATTGAATCACTTGATGGCTGTTCCTTCTCAAGTGGATCACTGACGGCTCCCAGAACTCACTCAGCAAACGGATGTGGGTCCGACTGTTTCTAGTATGATTTCATTGCATTCATTCATTGTCGTGATAGGGAACCTACATTACCTTCGCGCGTCTTGATAGAAAGAGCTCACAATGTTGTCGCCTGAATTCTGTATCCAATACGTGAACGCTGAATAGGTTATATCGAAATTTCCGGAGTTCTATTGCTGACTGTAAAAGTTAATTATCCTGATTTTAGGATAGTTACGTTCACATAACCATGAATGATGATAAGAGACTGTTTCCCAGTAATAATTTAATGGTTGACAATTCAGCACAAATTTCTAATCGAATATTTGACTTGTATTAATCGTTAAACGGTCGTACGGATTTCAATCTGAGCTGAAAGTGTACGTTGTAGTGCGAGGATGGTAATCATGATAGTACTAATAATAATAATATCGTAATGCAATACTAATTGTAAAAAACTTGTTGCTACATCGCTTTCTCACTCTTTGTACAATATTTGGTAGAATTTGACACATATATAATGCATCGACTTGATTCTACCTGGCATTTCTGTTATACTTTCGAACACTTCTCTTCCTGACCGCCTTTTTTCAAACCTTTAGCGGGCCTTGGACTATAGTCAAACCATCAAACTTTTATCATAGGCACCAACTGACATTAATTAACTGGCATTTTGTCCAATGTACTTACTATTGACAACGATTCCTTTCTGCAACCGACTACTGCGTCGAATCTCCAGTAAACAACTAACCCTACCAACTGGGACTTTCAACAATTTAATCGCCTTGTAGCGACGACAAATCTAAGACGCTTCGCGAGGGTGCTACAATTTGCGCCGCCCGCAAGGCAAAAGAAGCAAGGGCGGAATAGGAAAGAAACAGGCAACGTAGAAATAGTGGCGTGGAGGCCGTAAAGACCATTCTTGCAACAATAAGCTCAGCAGTATTACAGCTTCATGTTTGCCTCGGATGTTTAGGGCTAACCCACCCCCGCTGTAGTGCTTAGAACCCGCGTGCGTAAGGCACATTGCCAGCTCTGTCACATCCGAGCAGTGCGAATTGAACTCCCTATTAGGTCCTGTCTTGTAGTTTTGTCTTTTTTTCGTATTTCCTAACCTTTGCTAGCTCGCTGGCTAGATTATTGTTAGCCAAGACCTGTCTCACTACATGGGTCCTTGTTGAATAATGGTTGATGATAGAATCCACCACTCTGCACCTCTTGTGCCCTCCCCTTTATCATGAGCTTCGAAAACTATGATCTTGCAGTGAAAAGCCGCTTTTCAAGCTGAAAACGACGCTACCCCCCTTCTTATAGCACTGTCCCACCTAAAAGGATCACATTCTCAGTGTTTTTTTCATTTGTCCCATGAATTATGCCGCGTCGTTTGACTAGAGTGTTTGGCTACGCCATACACCAATGAAACAGTTATTTCCCACAGCTAAAAGTTTTGCTGTCGATGCTTCTTCGCATCCATGGCATCTAGAATCGGTTGTCGTTTGGCTTGGTAGCGTCGACGGAGTTCCTCGATCTCGCGTTCCATCTCTGTATCGAGGGCCGCCATCCTTGCCTGCAGCTCGTCAAAGCTTAGCACTTTGAGCTGCATCTCAAGGTCGAGATGTGCGCCAATGGCGGGCATATCTAGACCGGCGACGGCTGGACCAAAGGTCTGTGTTTCACTGTCACAGGGCACTACAGCGCCGGTTCCGGGACCAGCTAACCCTAGTCCCGCCGAAATTAACGCTAGCCGTCGTTGGAGCTCATCTTCTGCAGAAGCCGTTTTAGTGTCAGCCGTCAATCCACCTGTCATGCCGCGTAAGTTGCTAGGCAGCGTAATCGTCTTTGAATTCACTTGCTGCTGCTGAAGCTGTTGCTGTTTGCGCTCAAAATGATCAAGGAAATAAGGTCGATACGGCTCCCGGTCCCGCATTGTCGAGTCGTTCTCTTCGTCATTAATAACTAGCGTGCCAATGTTGCTCTCTACATCACTAAGCGTGGCGCTGTGGTGCTCAACGCGCGAAAACGTTTCACTAGTACTTGAATCCTGCGCACTGTCAGTAACATCTGTTTTCGAACCAACTGGAGCAGCGATGTCGTTAGCAGCGCTTGATGTATCATTGTTGTTCCGTTCTGGCACGAGCGTGCTGTCATCAACCTCATCGTCATTTGTCCCATTTCCATCCAGTTGATTGTTCTTTTCTTCCTGAAGCCGACTAGCTTCAGCAATCATCTTCTGCAAAATCGCAACTGGCTTCGCTTGTATAATAAATGGATGACGTAATAACTCGCTGGCCGTAGCCCGTTCCTCGGGATTTTTGACGAGGCAACGGGACACAAAATCAATAAGTTCTGGACTCCACTTGTCAGGGTCACGAAACGATGGTGGCGGCTTAGACGGTATCATGAAGATAGCCCGCATTGGATGGATATCTCCGTACGGCGGTTTACCCTCAGCCATCTCCAAAGCCGTAATACCCAACGACCAGATGTCAGCTCCGCAGTCATAGCCGATTTCTTGGATTACCTCAGGCGCCATCCAAAATGGAGTGCCTATCACTGTGTTCCGTTTAGCCATTGTGTCTGTGAGCTGCCCAGCCACGCCAAAATCTGCTAGCTTGGCGTGGCCTTCAGAGTTTAGCAATATGTTACCAGCTTTAATGTCGCGGTGGATTTTTCGCCTTTGGTGCAGGTACTCGAGCCCTAGAAGTAAACGAACGCCCATTATTAGGAGATCAACTAACAGCCTCACCCCTTCATGAGAACGTGGAGACAGGTACATACCATCGAGTAACGATATGGTTCAAGGTTGTAGATCCGTACCAAAGACCGCACAGCCCGGGATTAAACCTACCCTTGAGAGTGTCGCAGAGGATAGTGGCTATCTCGTCCTCCTGCAGCGTGGTTTTGCGAATCCGCATTACATCAGAAACGCTACCCCCGCCACAATACTCCATCACAATCCACAGGTCGCTCCCCTTGAAGTAGCTCCCATAATACTTAACCACGAAAGGCGAGTCGCATTGTTGCATGATAGAGATCTCTTTAATGATCTCTTGCAGGTCGGTATCGACCGGCACCTGCTTGATCGCCAATACTTGGCCGGACTCTTTATGCAGAGCCTTGTATACCGAGCCATAACTTCCTGTAAGCAATAGAGAGCAGACCTCGTTTAGATCTGTTCACATATCAATTATCGCGTCTATCATGTTACAATACATATTTACCGGTAAGGTAACAGTTAAACGGCTAATGTCAGATAGGCTTACCCTCGCCGAGCTTGCATAGAAGGTCAAAAACTTCATCAGGCTGTCGCGTGAGGCACTCCTCCGATAACTTATTCAGTTGCGCCTGGTTACTTTCTCGTTCCTGAAATTAAGCCCAAAGCAATCACTGTATACGAACTGTACACGAGCACGCCTATGTTTGGGAATGTGTTCTGCAGATTTCCAGTTCCTCTACGCTTAGAGACTTTTGACTAATTGTCCAATGAGTAAAATTAAATACGATACGGGTATGGAAAATAGCTATATTAACTTTTTCCGTACGTAATAATTTCTTCCAATAAATTATCGGTTGACCAGAAACATATAAATTGTTTTCAAGTATTTTATAATTTCTATAAGTAAGCATAAACTGATTTCTTAGTACATCTGAATATTAGAAAAAATGAGCTTTGGCTACAAATGAAATAATGATACTAATGACAAGCTAAAGCTAAGTAAATGATACACGATTGGTTAAAGTTTCGATCTGTACATCTGTCAAAATCCAACCTAAATGATAAGCCCATCTGATAGTCTCAATGATAGGTAATCCAATTTGTTTTATAAGCTTGTCTAACCTTTTCCGAGGGAGCTGCTGAACTGGCTCCAAGTGGTGCTTTAAGCGTCTCGTCCATGTCCCGCGCGGCAGCAAAGACCCGCGCGTAATGGCCGAATAACAACGCTCGAAGCGACAATCGTGGGCTCTCACTAGCTCATATTGTGATTTTTGTTAACCTGCGTCTCGCACTGACCGTAATGCGATTACTTCCACAGGTGGTCAATACCTGTAACGAATTGTAGTTAGATATCCAGTGGAAACAATAAGGCAATTGAAACTAAAATCGATTAACACGTACCATTGCTCTAATAATAACAAACTGCATACATATGGATGCGAGCTTTAGCTAACGTTGTATATACCGAAAACGAAGAGTAAAAAGCACATCCAATGCTTGATAAGAATCAAGTCAGTCAACAGCAATGAGGCTTAACTGTAGGTAGCCCCCCACACTGCCATAGCCGAAGACCGGAAAAGAAAGCTTGATAGTGATATAATCAAGTTTGAAAATTTTGTATTAGAATGTGCTATTGATCACTTCTCAAAGGCGAGTAAAAGTTGATTGTCTGTAGAAGAGACTTCTGTATACACATCTGCCTGTCTTTAAATTATTTTAAATGTTTTAAAAGTTCCAGTACCGCTTTTCGAAAGCAAGGCGTACATGGTTAGCAGAAGTTAACCTAGTAGCATTGCGGCTTATCCAAAGTTTCATCCCTTTGAAACGCGCACGTTTTACACATTGTGTTTGTTGAAAAGTGATACCTTATCAATCGTGTAATTAAAATTAGTGATTTAACACAAACTTATCTATACAGATTCGATTCATTTAGACGAACAGCAGAAACAAATGTACTATTGCTTGGTCTCAAGCGCTGTTAGTCTTATGGGTTAATAATTAGTCATATTGAGTGAAGATACAGAACTCGAACCAATATCATTTAACGCCGACGGTTGAGCTGTTTGTTCGAACATTTCCTGTACTGATAATGCCAACTTTTTTAGAATGTCATACAAATGACTAAAAAATGGGCCTGGTGACATGTGGGTAGTGGTACCAATTTAGCCATAGACTATTTAGCGGAAGGGTCTGTTTCAGTTTTAACAATAATACCGCTGGAAACCGTAAACATTCGGTTAAGATATTAGCAAACCATGACTGTCGAAGCCGACCAGTTGGGTACACATTGCTGGCGTAGCTCAATCAGCCCTTGGTCGATACAAAAACGTGACATTTAAAAGCTGTTAACCAGTTGGCACCAAAACAGATACTGATTGTCAAGAGCCTACGACATCCTCTATTATGACTATACTGCTAAACTGAGAACGCACAGAAAAGGTGCACCTTGTGGAAATTGCCTTAACTTTATAACAATTTCTTCGAAGGCATCGGAGCACAACACACAGCCACTAGTAGAACTTAGTAGTAAAGAAAGTATTTAACGATCAATCTCTCAGTAACGATCGAGGTATTCATCGAGTTGTCACTGCAGGAACGAATATTTTTTTACGCGACATTAATAAAAGCCATGTAAAATTCAAGAGAGGGTCCGTAAAGCTAAATCCGCTTCCTATAACGAGCTACTAGATAAACACTCAACGATTGCAAAGATTTTAGGCAACTTATTATATGATTAAAGGCAACATCATTAAAAATAAAGTGAGAGCTAAAAGCAAAGGTACGAAACCTATAAAAATACAATATATGTACTTAAATGAATTCACAAAACAAAGCTACAACGACAGAGAAGGTGAGCTAATCGAGCAGCCGATTCAGGGACTCACCTCGAATGATGGGCACAGGCAGTCCGAAGAGAGCTGAGAAAAACCTCCAAAGAGTCAACCACCACAGGTAATCGCGGCAATGTCGACAACAGTAAATGGCATGAAAAATCACGCGCCAGAAAAAAAGCTCAACGCCATCGTCACATTGGCCACTGCGTAATCAATATACTGCTGATATGTCTGATGGCTTGTAGCAATGCAACAGTTGTCGTCCCTGCACCCCTGTTCTTACCCCTCAGTATGTTTCCCGTGTCTTTTTGGATGAAAGGACTTTGAGAGGCTTTTCTTACCTCCATAGAATAAAGAGACCAGCGAAAATCGACTAATGTTAAAAGAAAAAGCTCTGTCGAATTCAAAACCAGTAAAATATTCGGCGACATGAAAACAATGTTAGTAACTATCTGCTTACAGTTTCCTTGTAAAACTTGCTAATATACTATACTGTGTCCAAGAGGTTATCGATATTACCATCCTTTCACATATGTTATAAGCGGTATAATGACGTCCAACAATAGACTTATCACGCGTACTCTGTATCGATTTTATTAATAATTTTTCCTCGAAAAGCGACATCTAGACATTTCCGTCTATGTGGACTACAAACTATAAACGCGCACGTATCTTTTGTAGTATACAGCAAGCGTATACAGTATAATTTCAACTGTTGACAAGATGCGCTGTGCTGTTGTCGATGCTTTTTTATTATATATACTTATTATCAGTATTATATAATTATACTAATATTCTTAAACTATATACAAAACAGTTCAAATGATCTGCCATTTGCTAACTGATTAATATCAAGATGATAACTTTGCCATGAATATGACAGCCCAATTGGCCTAAATTTGTGAAACGGTTACCAGAAGCCTTCTTTACGAGTGGAAGCGATAACGGTGATTAGACTGAATACACATTCTAATTATTTATTACACACTGTAGCATCCTACCATCAAAACATTGCTCCGCACAGTTTCAACCTGTCATCAGGTGGAACTTCTAATTACTTTAGACTGGTCACGACCGACGTATTAGATCTACGTAACCCTAGCATAAACACAGTCATGCGGGTAGCAGCAGATGACTCCACATACACACAAAATTATGCATCTCAGACATCATTGTATCGGGCGGCCGACTACTTTTCAGCAGCTGCACACTTGATTTTTACAAGGACGCCCCTTTTTTCCCATCTGCACCATATTCACTTGGTTTCAGGTCGACCGGATCTCTTGAACCATCCATAAGAACAATCGCCAAAGAGGTCCAGCGGCCTCAATAGTTAATGTCAGCAGAGCCATAATGACTGGTTGAACTTTTCGTATTCTGCTTTGGTGTTATTGGTATATTATGTAGAGTGCTGCTTAGTTACTAGTTGATGTAACTAACAACCCTCGGTCCGAATCCAGCACAAAAAGCTCGCATTTTTCTTATATAAGATTCGATATGTAGCAAATTGAGTCTGTATTGAAGCAATATAGATGTACAGATAAATCTTTGTCAGCAATTTTGGTCTTTTCAGTGCATTGACGCGCCGGAGGCCTCGGTGATAGTCGAAGCAAGCTGCTCCAACGCAGCACGGCCACAACAACAACAACAGCAACAGGTAATAGTGTTCTGGTTCCGTGCGTTTTCTCTGCAAAATTATTGATTACCACGCCACTTAGCCATGCGTATTCCCCCAGGGATGACGTCAGCTTTTTATATGTTGTCCCAACCAGATGACGATTACCGTTTATTTCATCGTCCGTCGCACGATTCGTTGCCATTCGATCGCTCGGCGGCGACCAACAACGAATTGCTTCAGAACGCAGATATTCACTGCTAATACTTACGATTCAGAAAAAAATTACGCGACAAAATCTATTGTTGGCAAATGCGGCGGACAAAGCATGCTTACATTTGCGAACTTTTGTGGAGAATGAATAAGGCTTGAAGATTCTAAAAACACGTTTGGTAGATGTTTGTGGGGACAGGGAAAGGTGTGCCTTCAGTGAGTACTAACGCACTTAGAAATACTTGTTACGGCCCTACGCTAGCGCAATAAATATCTAGAAATAAGTGTTTATGCCGATAAACGGGAAGCATCAATCTTAACATGCTTCGTGGCACTTCGTTTTCAATTTTCATTATCTATCCATTATATATATTATAAAAGTTCGTAATAAAAGTGGTTCAGCCTAACACAAAACAACTAAACGTTCCAGCTTAGCAATTCTAGAACTAACACTTGGAAGGCTTCATTTTATCAGATATACGCAGTTAACAAGTATGGTGAACATAGCTTCTCGTTAGAGTGGAAGGTGTACACAGTGGGTACTCGCCTACCGAGAGAATTCGTGCGTTCTGTTACTTTCGAGAGACAGTCGGCGTATTAGGTTCAAGGTGAGATTGGAACCGTTGTAGCCGTGGGTCAGAGGGATGAAGCTACAGATTTTCAGAGGGACAAATGGTGTCACATTAAAATGAGAGAAGAGTCAATCGTTTGCAGTTGTCCTATAGACATTCTGAATGATCACAACAAAGCCCACAACAAGCTGCTTCATCGACTGCGTTACGGATCAACCAGATTTTGTTGACGCACCGCATTAACGCGTACATTCATCCGTATCGGTGGCTAGCAGCGCCACACACAAACACACAGCGTTGCCATTTATGACTGATTGAGAAAGAGACGGACAACCAACTACATCTATTGTGAATTCGGCCGTCAGAAAGCGATCTCTAAAAAAAGCTATTGTAAAATTAAGCGTAGATTTTCGGTAGAGTACATTTAAATGGCAATGTGATACGTGGACTTCTCTTTGGAAAAATTCTGCAAATTGACAACTTGTCGAAAGTTTAGTGCTAAAAGCTGAAATTTAGTTTCGGAGGTATCTTGGAGCGCTAACGTACCATGTTGGTAAAGCAATGTGCTCAAATACGATTACATCCGCCGTTACTTACGTTTAGATATCTTGTTACTCAGTTATATTTTCATTTACTATGCTTAAAATGATTCACTAACATAGTTTTATTTTACTATCTTTATTGTCTCGGATACCGCAGAACTTTTTACTAGTAGGTTATGACAACCAAGTTTTGCTGCTCCGGAATACATGGTTTGATAAAACTATTTTCACCGTTTTTTAAATACGTTACACTCAGTTTATTCATAGCTCTTTCCATGAGCAGTTATCAATACGACAACAAGGCCGTCGAGGCAATAAGTGTTTGATAAAGGTTAGCTGGGACTCAAGTCTGTCAGACCGGTAACTTCATAGACGTATAATTATGCACGTATGCACGTTATCCTGTATGAATAAGGAATACTTTTAGCCCAAGTCAGCCTAACTAGAACAGTACCTGAAGCACATGTGACGAACGAGCGCAGAAAAACAATGATGATACCCCGTATCGCGCTATATTAATTACGGATCCTCCATGGTTCTGTTGCATAGGTGACATGGCAGATCATAATCATCGACACCGTAAGGCAATACAGATGTAATAATATACCATCGCATTATACACAGGCACGAACAATCATTGAAGATCGACTGGGCCTAGCTAGCTTATTTTAATGTAAAAGTGGCACTCAAGGATGACGTCTAAGACCACAAACATACAATTTGCGGATGGCTTTGCCTGGTTTAGTAAATCGCTAACAATCGCCTGCAGGTATTTTTCGTTAATTATTTTTTGCCATTCAATGTTTCTGAAGAAACGAATACAATGCTTTGAAAATTATTATACTGCCGTTGCTAGTTACGTTGGCCCGAGTTTTCGTAGCAATTCAATGGCAGCTCGAATGGTACCGCAAACAGAAAATTAACCAGCAGTGGACTTTCTGGCTTTTTATTCATTTAACAACTCACATCGTATTATACCAGGCAAACTAATTCCATCAGTGGCGAACCACTGCTATAACGAAAAATAGAATTCCTTCTCACGACATGTTGTTCCTTAGAACCACACTTTTTGCCTTCTGTTGCGTCTTATTCGCTTGTCTTCCGCGAAACCTGCGCTAAAAGTACCGTCTCTCTAACGCGAGGTCGAGATAGCAAAATAGACGATAGAAGAAATAAATTGCCCGTTTTCTACCACGCACCATTCACACCACAAATAGCATCCACGCCTGCACTCAAAGCTGCGGCTTGTATTAGCATACCCTCTACCAGGTATTGCCATTGGTATGCCTTGTTAGAGATGCGATCTCTGTTTAATTCATCTCTTGTGAGTTCATTCTCAGAAAACTAATGAAAAACTTATATCTTGGTATAACTTTCACTGGCAATTCCAGCTTCTAGCCTTAGATTCGAGTGTACAAGCAGAACAAGATGAACGTTTATTTCAAACAGGAGTTTTACAACAGCTTGCACCTGCTAATCGCACATTATTAAGCTTCGTCTTGTTTCCATTTCACTTTTGTAATTATGCCTATCAATATTTTTCTCTTTTTTTTTTAATTCCTTTCAGAAAACAGTCTTTGTCTCGATTCAACCAACTCACTCAAATCGAACGCACCTCATCTGCACCTCGCTCGAAATCACAGGAAGGATGGTGAAACAGTGCGGCTTTTGTTCCTCCTTTTGTCAGTGTCTCCTCACTGCTTTGCGTGCGCTGACCGTAGATGATTCGTGGCCTTTTCGTCGTATACCTAGGTCAGGTCTACCGTTCCTGCCTCTGCTAAGGAAGTAAAGGAATATGTTAAGCCGAGGGCAGATGGTTAGGCCGAAAGGACAGCGTAGAACAAACAATCGGGTACGTCGTCTTTGGTCGTCGTTGATAGGTAAGGAAGCTACGGCACACTGCGGTTTAGCGGCCAGGATACGGACACAAGGATTGTTGTTGTAGCCGCAGCACAGGGATCCGCTCTAATGCCGGGCCCTCTAAACCGTGAGTTAAAGTTTCTAGCAGCTGCCGGTTGCCAGCTGCTAGAAAACAGATGCACTAGTTGGGCCCACAGTCAAATGGTCTTTGGCCGTGAATTGTTCCCCGATCGGTCGCTACTTTGCCCCGAGGACCACAAGAACTAAAAGAAGAGTAGATAGAAACTGAGGGGAACAAGATGACGACGGGATCAGGCGTAACCAGACGACAAAAACCAACACAGAGACGCCCATAAACATATGCACATCCAACTCACACAATCACGCACACAAAAGAAAGCATACACACACAAATACATGTACACAGCGCGAAACAACGACACATGCTCAAGGCGCTTCACGCCAGTCGTATCCATTCGATCAGCCAATTACCACTGAAAACAGATAGTTCAAGGTATGGAAACGACCGTCGTACAGACAACCCGCAGAATATAAAAGAAGCAAAGGCATAATATACAGGTTTTCTAAGATACAACTACACATTCACAGGCACACACAAAGACGGTCACTTACGTCCACAAACTAAGCACATAGAAAATTCAGAAAAACAACACTACACGAGTCATAGTCAGCGGTTAAACAACCTCTCTTTACAACCATGCATGACGATGGCGAAGACGATCGCACTGGTTGTTTTCCTTGTTGAGGAAGTTGTATTTTTGGCGCGATAGCCCTATTGGACAGAAGCCTTTGCCGCTTTGTTTCGGGAGCGGACGACGCTCTGTCGTCTGCTGTGCGGTTTAAAGGGATACGAATGTTAACGATGGCAATGTTGATCATGAAAATGAGCGAGAGTTTAGTAAAGAAAGAGAAAACGTCGTTTCGAAACCCAACAAATTATTGGCAACGCGTGTGTCTACTATTGCCTCGCTTTGCAATTTCGCATTGCAGAATATATGATCTATATGAATAATTTTTCAGGTCTACTCTTTGCATTGCCTGACCTTTTCATATTGCTCCATTGACTGTTTTTAGCGAGTACGAAATGAGTCTTTTATCGTCATTTATGTTACTGATGACTCTTTTCCCTATTATGTTTTTGTATTTAAAAACTTAGCTTCTCAAGTTAATTTCCGTAAGTGTTTCGAAAATAAGTATTTCAGCTAATTTGTTGTAATGCATACTTTCATGCTCTCAAAAGTATTTTTTTATGTCAACCGAGACTTATTGTTGTTTCAGTATTTTCATGATAGGCTTGCTACATAATAGACAATGATTTCTTGATAATGTACGGAAATATGGGATTTGTCCTTACAGAAAAACTTATTTTTACTTTTATCCAGTGAATAAGGAAAATGTTTTAAGGCATCTTTAAAAAGAACTGAGCACTATGATTGCGCAAAAATGGAATGGAAAAAATGGAACTGCATAAAATGAATTATTATCAACACTGAAATTTCAGAGAAGTGATGTCCTTTTTGAGAACATTTTCAAATTGGATTAGCTATGTACGGTGTTAAATCTGATATTTTTAGAAGTGCATATCTGATTCTGGAAAAAGGGTGTAACTCCTGCTACCTTCTCTAAATGTACCAATGTCTAAAGTAACAATGTGTAAACTAACAAGCTGGGCACAGCTGCTGAATCATTTTTAAATTATTTGGATAATGCAACTTCTCATGAAGATAAAATGGACACAGTTAACATGGAAACGTAATTAGGTCTATGTAAGTACTTTCTATGAGGTAAATTGATCCATACAAATACGATTTACAGAAACGAGATATACACTTTAGCACACTGCTTTTTAGGGGCATAATACGCGCCCTCTATAAAAATGGGCCCTACTCTATGAAGACCAAAAACGATTGCTTTTTAGTCCAGAGTAAGCAGCTTATAAACCTAATCAACACTTTTTGATGAAAACACGGGATGAAAGTGATGCATGGAGAAAATTCGTAAGTAATACACGTCATTAGGACAAGGCGAATGTTTTGAACAAATTCAAGACTACCTGTTCTTACTCTTTTTACAAGACATTACAGGATGACCAGCACGTATTCAGCCACATGTTTTAGATTAATTGGAAGTGCATTGCTTATTGTAACGACTGAATGATGTAAAACCGATATTCATATATGCATGGAAATTCATTACATCGTTTGCATATGCTCGTGATTCATTAAAAGATCAGTTCTACTTTGTTATTAGCCACAAATAATCAGCTAATGCTTAAGTGTGAATGGTTTAAAAGGATCGTGCGCCACAAGTGTACCATCCGCCGCGTATATGCAGATGTATATGGACGATGCGGATAGTGCCTACATACACGCGTGCGTGTGTGTGTGGGCGTATTACCGTTTCCAGCACGGCCTGCACTATTACGCAGTACCGTGGAGCTGTTACAGCAGTTTTGTGTGGTGATGGTTGCCAGCTCAGGTTGCTTGATCCTGCGCTGCGGCTAGCTATTTTCGCTATTGCACGGACGACGAATTCGGAATCTTGTTGTTTACATTACGTGTCATACAGCCTGTCCTCACCACTTCCGTCATCAGTTTCGTCAGTGGATTACAGACGGCGGCATCCTGGTACTTATGATCACAGTACAATATATTTCGACCCGTACTGCTAGGTGAAGAAAATAGCCCGACAAGAAAATCGACCTGTTTTATCAAAATATTTAATATGCTCATAAAATAATATAGTTTGATAACTCGGTGCATATTAGATTTCAAAGTGCTATAAAGACAGATTTTTTGCTAGCAGGGTGACCTCTAGTGGCAGAATGTGTCGGGCAATACGACTCGACGAAATGCATAGGGTATGCTTTTGGGTGAAAAAAACTACGACGTGAAGGAAGACGTCCGGCATAGCCTACGATATATGGAACTCTGACCATAAAATACCGACCATTTACTATGCTTGTGTTAGTTTCTTTAAGTCATGTTGATTTCTCATTAAGTTTTTTACCGTTGTTTTTTTTCAAAGGAACGTCCTTCGTCTCTGCAAGTATTCGCCTTCTCTCCCCGTTACAATTTAGCTTGTTTTGTACTAGGTGAGATTAATTGAAAGTAAGATATTCGGACGAGAACAGAAGCCAGTTTTGAAATAGGTAAACATTTTTACCGTTGATATTACGTTTAATCCTGTCTGTGCGCGATTAGTTCACTTTTTGAGCTCAACAGCATCTGTAGTAGCAATAACGACTAAAAGCAAAAACCAGGGAACCTTTCTTATAAGCAGCCAGTTAGAGAAGATGCACGGCGGCACGACAGGCCCCCGCACGCCGCTCTTTCTTTCCGCTAAGTATTTCTGCGTTACGCTTACAAACATTTACTTCAAAGGCTCCGTCATGTGTAATGAGTGTTTGTTGTGTACAGTGATTTAAAAGTTCGCGCGCCGGTCTGGACGCACGGCTGCTACCAGTTTGTCCGTGTTTTGTTGTTGTTGCAGTTACTCACAGCAGTGAAGGGGCGTGTGAAGCTCCTCAACAGCCGAGGAAGTCACAGCGAAAAAAACGGTTGACGAAGAGAGCGATAGTGGTGACGACGACCGTGGCACTAAGAGCAGCAGCAACAGATAGGTATCTTCGGTAGTGGTCGCAGTGTGGATGTTGGTGGTGACCGGTTGGACTTCGGTTGCTGCTGTCGGAACGGCACACGATTTAGGTCAGTATTGAGTTGCGGGGCCGTTTGTTCGGCAGCCGTCAGTGAGCCACAAGAAAAAAGCGGAGGTCGATGGCGGTAGTGGCGTAAGCCACTACGTGTGCCTACAGTGGATTGGAGTGCAGTACTGAAAATCGTGAACGCCATTTCAGGCCGAATACAGAATGTCATCTGGTGCTGGCAACGATCAGCGATATGTGATTAGAGACTCATCGTTGAAGAGATAAACGACGCGAGTTTGCATCGGTCGTCTTCGCTTGAATCGCTGGGGTTTGATGCTATCGCTGCATTGTTCCGGAACGAGATTTAGGCCGATGGCATAGCTCATATCTCGTGGAGTTGTCGTTGTTATTCTTGTTGTCGTGCCTGTTCGCCATTTATGGTGCGTGAAGTTTACATGAAACTGTGTAAAACCCTTGCAACAACCCATACTACTATCGTTATTATTTTGTTAGTGGTTGGAAGGAACGCTCGCGCTACTTTGAATAAGGGCTATTGGTAGAGATTGTGCTGGTGATACAACTAGAGATTGCTAGTAGCGTGTTCACGCATAATCGCAGGGCGATGCGCTTTTCAAATGATATAGTACACGAACACAATCGGATCGAAGTATCAATAGGTTTTATACAACAACTCAGACGCCTCTTTAGCTTATTCATGTTATTCACAAGAAGGATTTTCAACCTCCAAACATTTGACTGTTGAGTGTTTTTGATTTCTTTGGATCGTATTGAACTGATTGGCGTGTTTGTGTGGCGGAGTCACTCGTCGCATAAACAGGTCATTTGCTGACATATTTTCAATAGAAAACCCATGTAGAAATAGCAGTGTTTGATCAGTAGAAGTAATATAGCTATTGTTTAGCTGCTCGCGACAAATTGTGCTGGCATCATTCACTTCAGCAAATTGTAATTATTACTGCCGATTGTAAACTATTCACTCATTTTGCCAAATGTTTCAAGTTGTATGTCTGGTACCATTATTTAGCATTACTTCACATATTTGGCTTCTATCAAGGAACAAAACCTGCCTGCGCTTATCTTCTACCGTAGACCATTGTGTCTCTAAATTTATTAGGCAAACACGTTACCATTGTGCCATTACGACAATTTAGTATTTTTACTTCTTATTCATTTTATCATTCATCTTTATTAACGACATACAACTGGAAAACTAACAGATTGCAGCTGGTCAACGAGTGGTGCTAGAATTGTTCGTTTAATATTATACCATCCAGTGTAGCTTAGCTGTAGCGTCTACTTATGTCACTTGTCCTTAAATGTGCCTTAAATGTCGCTTATCCTGCAAGACTGGGAAATCAAACTATTCTGATCCAATTTGGTTACTCCTTAAAGGAACCCTGGAACTTTTTCGTTAAGTGTCACGATTCCTTGTTTTTGAGCTCAATATTTCTGTTCGTCTTGGTACTGAATACGTGCTTGCTTTTGGCTGTTGTTATTTACAGGTGTTTGTAGAGAAATCCTAAAACAGCATGGACGTAACGCGGAAGGAGTTTGCGTTGAGAAAGACCGAACTTGAGACTAACATTAAAGAATGCTGCTTCGCAGCAATCGACAGTGAATTTACTGGACTTGCGCCACCTCGAGCGTTTCACCCTCTTGACACAGCTGCCGAGCGTTATAGTAAACTTCGAAAAGAAATTTCGAACTATCTTATAGTCCAGCTGGGTTTGTCTCTCTTTACATACGACGAGCAGACTGGATCATATGCTGTCAAAACCTACAATTTCTATGTATTTCCAGATGGCGCAGATCATGAGAAATTCATGAGCGATTCTGGGTGTATTAAGTTTCTACTACAACATGGTTTTGATTTCAACCGCTGTGTTCTGGAAGGATTGCCCTTCATGAGACCGGCAGAATTTGAGGACCGCAAGGCAGAGCTTAAGGCCCGACAACGATCGGAACTCCAAAAAATTATTCCAGATTGTTACTTATCGGAGATAGATAATGTGCTCGATGGAACTATAGGATGCGATGAGATTCAGAAAGCCACCCAACCGCCAAACATTGTAAGAATAACAGAAGCTTCAGCAGAAGAATATGTTACGGCTAACTGGTCATCCATTAACAAGTGGATAAAGAGCAAGGAACCGGAATTGGTTCTTCCGCCGTGCAGTGAGCTAGTTCGCCTCCCTTTCTATGAACACATGGAACGTGTATTCTTCAACGCCCATTTCGACATGGAAGCAATGCGACCTGAACTTAAGGAACAGACGCAGCCGGGCCTGAGAAAGATCCGCTTGTTTCGCTCTGAAAGTACGCCAACGGATCGGCTTTTGACTCGTCACAAAAAAGAGCGACAGGAACTTAATGAACGGTTGGGCATTAGCTCTGTATTAAATTTCGTGGCTAAATCGCAGAAACCCGTCGTATTACATAACTGCGTACATGATTTATTACTTATCATCTCGCAGTTTTTTGCGCCATTACCTGAAAAGTACGTTGAATTTCAGGCGCTTTGCAACGAGATTTTCCCTAATTTGTTTGACACGAAATTTATGGTGCAATTTGGGACGTTAAAGCAGTATTTCCGCGGCACACGATTAATCGACGTTTACAACCAAATTAAGAACCAGCAAAAAATTTTCTCCATGCCACGGGTAAACGTTTGCGATGGATATGGGTATGCTGATGAAACGAGAGAGCACGAGGCGGGATACGATGCTTGGATTACTGGATACATATTCGCCGCGTTATCTCAATTCCTCTTGCCGAACAAAAAAAACAATTTTAGTAAGCTGAATGTCACTCATTCAAGTATAGTTCCGTTTAGAAATAAAATCCCATTCGCTTCATCGCTAGACATCACCTGTTTTACCATTGATCCAACAATTCAAGAAGATTCATTAAACAGAAGCAGCGTATTCGTCGTTGAGTGGGAGGAGCATGAACATGCGTCGTACGCCCGAGCTCTTGTAGCCCAGGTGGGCGGCTTTAAGAAGATTGGCTACGGAGAAAACGTCCTAACGTTTATACCAAACAATCCAAAATCATGTTTTGAAATGCTCAAAACTGCCCACGAGCTCCCGCGTCAATGTCGTTTCTACAAGTACAGTACGCGATTTCAAAAAGTTCCATTATTCGCTTCTGTGAAAAGAAATATTTCTCCCGAAAGTCAGACTATCTCAATGGAGACGACATCTTTAATGAAAAAGTACTCGGGTATTCCAGTTACCAACCTCCGCCAAAGTCCTCCTTCTAATACAGGCGAGTGGACCCAGGTTGGAGCACGCTCCCCTGGTAATAAAAAGCGTCGGATAGACGATGCTAACTGGGGAGATTGTCGACAAGACGCGGCCGTCGCCGAGACGGATTGGTAGGGGAACAAGCTATTTTTGGCAATAATCGTTTTGCTTGCGATAGCAAGCATGTTGTTAAAGTGATTTTCGCCCTTTCCGGAAGCCCGCCAACCTTAAACAAGTTCACATTTATAACCCATAATTATACCAATAGAGTATATATATATATATATAACATGACAAATTAAATTGAAACGCAACAGAACCGCCTGCACGCATTTCAATGAAAATCGACGGTGTTTATCGTCGTCCTTCCACAATCAGTTTATTCTATTATAAATATCAATCAATACATAGATCACCGTAAAGCAATTGAGATCTCCCGTATTGATTGAAATTAGCGTTTAATGTTTTTCGCTTTCTTTTCCTTGTGTCAGTACGCGTTTGCATTGTCTGAAAGTACAGATTATGTAACTTTGTCAAATCTACTGTCCACTTTTTTCAGTACAACTTCGAAGTAAAGTGGTGCGTGTTCAAGTGAACAAGTTTTGCGTGTTTGCGCTTATAATGCTTATATGTACATATGTGCTGAGAATGTGTATTGTAAAGTGTATGAACGGCTTGGTTTGCGTGCTTATCGTTTTGTGGACCATTCGTGGTTAAGAATTATAATTATAATTATTATTACTATCTACTGCTGTTTTTTTATTGTACTCATTTGTATTACTGTTCTGTGCATGGCGCACCAGGCCAGTTCTGCTTTATCATTTCTAATACACGTATTCACGTAATTATTCCTTTCTGAGTAGATTTAGGCAAGCAATTGTGTCTGCACCATTATACAACGTATTTTTTAGAATTGCGATTTCTTCTCGCTGTGTAAGTGCGTATCATGGTTTATTGGATGTGATAGTTTCAAAATCAGGTCCCCTGGTTAACGTTTGTTGTCGCTACGACCAATTACGCATGAAATATGGAGAATAGCTAGACTTCTTCGATGAAAATACAGCTATAGTGCTATTCAGTACTGTTCTCAAGTACGTTCATAGCAACGGTCCATAGCATTTCTGAGATTCTGATGATGGTAATGGTGATAATGAAGGAAGACAGTAATGCCATATGGACGACGACCTGTGATTGACTGATTTTTACATGATGTATATGCGGCATCTGCCTCGCCCGTTATGGACGAACCACCAGAAATTGAATTAGATTAGGACGATGGCGTGGTAATGGTGATGATGATGCGTGGGTGCGGGGGCAAATAGCGATAAACCATCTGGTACTTTTCTATATATA